AACAGCCTGGAGCAGCCCCCCTACGTGCCAGGTACAGGGAGCGGGTCCCAGCCTCTGCCCGGGGGCGCGGGGAGCCCCAGGAGGAGCCTGGGGGTGCGGGGAGCCCCAAGAGGAGCCTGGGGGTGCAGGGAGCCCCGGGAGGAGCCCGGGGTTGCTCCAGTCCCGGCCGGGGGGCTCTGTGCCCGCCCTGGCCAGCACTGCTCCCATGCAGGGGTGTTTGGCGGGCGGCTCCAAGGCGGCACCATCTGCGCCTCCAGCCAGCAGTACCTGTCCTCCCACTACAACCTGCACAGCCTCTACGGGCTCACCCAGGCCGTCGCCTCCCATGAGTAAGCCCGGGGCTGGTGTCGCAGCTCCTGAGGAGCTGATGCACATCACGGGGGGTGCCAGAGCCAGGAGAGACCCCTCCCCACAGCTGGGCAGGGCGGGTGTGGGGGGGCATTCAGCGGGGGGGCGAGGGCTGGGTTCGTACCCCGGTGCGTTGCCTGTTGCTGCCAGTTCGTACCCCGGTGCGTTGCCTGTTGCTGCCAGCCTGGGGCTGGAGCTGGTGCTGTGCTGCCGTGCTGGCTCCTGGGCTGGGGGGCCATGCCCTGAGACTGCCCCATGGGCAGGATGGTGCTGGGTGTCTGCCCCGGCCTGTGCCCGCTCTGCTGGGAGCTGCTGAGCCCCCTCCTGCCCGCAGCGCGCTGCTGAGGGTCCGGGGCAAGCGGCCCTTCGTCATCTCCCGCTCCACGTTCTCTGGGCACGGGCGCTACGCAGGGCACTGGACTGGGGACGTCGGCAGCAACTGGGAGCAGCTCTACTACTCCATACCAGGTAGGCTGCGGGGTGCCGGGGCCGCATCCTGCTCCACTTCCCCCCTGTGCCCCCCCCACTGCAGCCGGGGGCTTCCCCGACACACTCTGTGCCCCCCCGCAGAGGTGCTGCTCTTCAACCTCTTCGGGGTGCCGCTGGTGGGTGCCGACATCTGCGGCTTCGCGGGCGACACATCGGAGGAGCTGTGCGTGCGCTGGACCCAGCTGGGCGCCTTCTACCCCTTCATGAGGAACCACAACGACCATGGCGCCCGGGTGAGCGCCGGGGGGGCGGCTGGGGGACGGAGCACCCACTGCTCCCCCCACATGGTCCGAGCATCCCCCTGCCTTCTCCCCTGCAGCCGCAGGAGCCGTACGCCTTCAGCCCCGCCGCCCAGGCTGCCATGAGGAAGGCCCTCTGCCTCCGCTACTCCCTCCTGCCCTTCCTCTACACCCTCTTCCACCGGGCTCACTCCGCCGGGGAGACGGTGGCACGGCCCCTCTTCCTCGAGTGAGTGCCCACGGGCGCCGGGAGGGGGGTGCAGGGTCTCCCTGGCGCTGCACTGCCCGTCTCCTCCTTCCCCAGGTTCCCCAAGGACCCCAACACCTGGGCCCTGGACCGCCAGCTGATGTGGGGCGGGGGGCTGCTCGTCACCCCAGTGCTGCAGCCAGGAACCACCAAAGTCAGCGGCTACTTCCCGGCGGGGACGTGGTACAGCCTCGCAGGGGTGGGTGCTGCCCTGTGAGCGGGGGCTTTGCTGCCTGTGTCCCTGCTCCTACCAGACCCCGGGGCTGTGCTGGGGCTCAGGCCTCACTTGTGGCCGTTGGAGGGGGGCTGGGACCCCCCC